ACACACACACACAATATATACACACCTGTGTCTATCTTAGGTCTGAACATGGAGGTGTTAACAGGCATGGCGAGAGTGTAACTTCCCGTGTACAGTCATGTGACCAAACATCATCAGTAAAGCAGTTAAGTCCACCTGCTCAAACACTGCCATCATCTATCTATTCAAGGCAGAACAGACAGATGCACAGATGAAAGTAAGCCTTAACAATGCTCCAAAGTGACAACGTGTCAAAATAATGATGCACTGGTTTCATTACCTTCTGTCCTCTGAAATCCTGCCAGCTTTCCTGTCGTTCTAGCACCAGTCAACACTTTGGCTTATTCCAGCAGCCAGCGTGATATCAGACTGGCAACAACGCCAGAGAGCCGGGGGATTATCATGTGATATTATCCCATTTGCTGTGTGAAAGACACATATGAGGAGGTGTCATGCTGCTGGAAATATCTACACTGAAAACTGATGAGTTGCCATCATTAGATTGAAGTCGAGAATAAAGAGTTAGTTAACAGTTAGGCTACAATAGTGGAATAAAAGATTCATTTCTGTCCATCCAGAAATCACAACAGACTGCTACAGCGTTTTTGACTATTTAGCTAAATATGCATTTGCATTAATTAAATCACAGGCCAACATCCACTGGCAAAGAAAGGCAAATGCTGCATGACCGAGATGTGACTCTCTGACATCAATGCTGGGCAGGTGCACCCCCGCACCTCACCAAAAAACATCAAATAGATCAGTCGATCCGTGCGGGGGAGCGTCATACAACTTATAGATCAAGTGCATCTGCTGACGGCAGACTGACATGAAGCCAAGAGCTCATCCAGCTTTGAAATGTAAACCAGTCCACCAGGCTCTTTTCAACCACAGCAGGAATGTAAAGAAAAGGAGGAAACTTGCAAAAAAGATGCTTAAAAAAAAAACAGCAGCTTAGGGTTAGATGGCTCTAGAAAGGTAATTTTCTTAGTACAGAAGCAGTTTTGGAGCCACGGAAAATCCTAATGGCTTTGCACACATGCAGACAGTCTATTTGCCTTCAGTATGGGGGAAGAAATATTTGCATTGCAATTCTCTGTCAGCAGAGGGACAAACTGAGACAGACCATAGCGCTTTTATTTTGACGTTCACCATCCTGCTGTGATTTGTGCAGGTGTTTCCCTTCTGCACATGCGCACAAGCTGCAGTCAGTCTTAGTAACAGTCCAAGATGCAGCGTATCGCATAAATGAATAACCACATGCACACTAATGATGTGTACTCGGAGGCTCACTCACACGCCAACATTCACACACATTCTCCTTCATATTTAAATAAAACACATCCCCCACAGTGGAGTCTGACAGATTCCTCTGTGTGATGAACGCTCACATGGCCTGTTTCCCTCTCTGATTGGCTGAGTTTGAGGTGACAGACAAACTGTATGCCTGCAGTGTGTGTGTGTGTGTGTGTGTGTGTGTTTGCATATGTGTGCGTTTGTGCAGACCCTCTGTTGCGAGGAAGGGGGTCAGAGCTAGAGGGGAGGTGATTGGCTAGTGAGCAGAGTCTCAGCATCAGCACATCCTTAACCCACTGCCCTTCTTTCCTCTTCTCCAGTCCTTCCCCCTCCCCCTGCTTGGCTCTGTCAGAGGAGTCACGGCCATAATCTACTACTGGTGTCTGCTGTGCGATAGCAGGCGCAATACAACTGCAACACGCCAACTACTACGCAGCACCCCTACATTACACCTATCACGACCAACACTTGCACGTGAAACAGTCAAACCTGGTTAGAGGAATCTGGTCCCTTTTTCTCTTTCTTCCATCTCTCTCTCTCTGCACACAGGCTTACCTGCACGCACACAACCTCCCATGGCACCCTCCCTCCCTCTTTAAATGTTAAAGAATGCGACTTGTGAACGTGAGAGCGCAGAGTAATTGGGCTGTCAATATCGTCTGGCGACAGATCCCCCCGAGAAAGGTGAAAAAGGGTTTAAAAAGGTCAGAAATTTTCCACAGAAACCCCAGAGGAATTAATTCCGACACACAGGGAGCGTCGCTTCACACAACCCAACACAGAAACACTATCATGGCTTCTTATGGTTTAGTATGCCTTTTGCTCTCGAGGACCACCCGATTTGAAAATGAATTACCACATACAGGGGATACAAAGATGGGTCCATTGCAGAACGCAGTCAGTCTACAACTTAGTATTAAAGGAAAATGGACACAATCCAAAAAGACCGACTCGAACCGGCGCGTAAAAGGCGCAGCCGTGCGGTTTCTCTCGCACACTCCTTCTCATTCTTGACTTCGATGAGCCATGCCATCCCTCTCTCTCTGTGTGTCTCTCTGTCTCCCTGTCTCTCTCTCCGTCAACGACAGCGAGGAGGATGAGAGAGAGGAGACAATACATCAAAGTCAGAGTGTGCAGCAGTTCAGCAAAGAGCCTTCTCATTTTTGTGACAGCTTTTGTGTCGCTCTGTCGTAAACCAGCGGGTATCACTGTTGCAGAGGACAAAGAGACACCAATAAACCTAAAGACAAGAGACTATTTGGTGGAGGATGTTAGAGATGCAGGTAGCTGATCCAGAAAACGCAACTCAAGGCGCACAGCGAGCGTAAACTCGGATGAAACAGAGCGGGGATTCACAGATTCATTATATTAAGTTAATCTAAATTTGATATTAGGTTGTGTTTAAGCTCATCACATTCATAAAACAAGCGCTCACATCCAGTCCCCCTGCTTGTCATCCTGTAGGCTACACTTGTCACTGTCCACCGGTCTCCCTAAATGTGCATACGGTTCTAATTGCGCGCACTAACCGCGTGTGATTTAAGATTCTCCGCTCACCTCACAGTCGTACAACTCGCTGAGCTGCTCAATGATCCACTCCTCCAGGACGAGTCTTTTCCGCAGCTCTTTCCTATCGTACTTGACCGTCACTTTGCCCTGTCTCTTCTGGACTGGGTCGTCCCCGGCGGTGATGGGGCCGGACCCCACGCAGCCCACCCCGGTCGCAGGTTGGAAGAAGACGCGGCTGCCGGCGGTGGGCAGCGGGGCACTAGTCTCGGTGCTGGCGGCCGACATTGCGGGATGTGAAAGGCTTATTATTTAAGAAAATGTGTGAATGAGTTGTGGTGGGGTTGCGGTGCTGAGAAGGACTGGGTGCTGCGCGGCAGACAGGAGAATGGTGAGGAGCTTTTAAACAGCTGCTATTTAAAGCGCAGCGCCGGAGACAGCCGAGAAGGCGGAGCGAACACTGCAAGAAGTGAGCTTCTCAGGCGCCTGTCTCGTGTTAAAATTAAAATCTATGTTTCCCTTAAAAAAGAAAACCCTTTTCTGTGGAGTGGCGTGAAATTACAGCGTTGCAACACTGTGAATGAAATGAAGTGAAATGAGTCTGATATATGTAAAAAAGAAAAAAAGAATTAAAATAATGACATGTGATCAGACTGTTACATTAGGTGGGTATTTTTTGCAGTGCGCCAGCCAAATTCCCTCAATGGTGCTTGTGTGCGCGCCCGTGCGTACTGGAGAGAAAGCAGATGCCTGAAAGCTGAGGGTCTTTCCCAGTTCCTGCCAACTGCTCTTCTGCCACCTCGTGTTGTTATTTACTTATCGAACTTTATCTATTGAGTATTTATATGTATGTGATACACAGGTGTGTAGAAAAGGCTCATGTGAACACCTGATACCGGACCACCAGTCTTTCAATTAGCGCAATCTGAAAGCCAAATATTTCAGCCTGGAATGGAGAGTTCTCTGCGCCACCTGGTGGCCATATGGAGAAATACACATTTGTATCACTTAAATGGATAAAATTGAGCTTGAATGCACTGAAAATATTTTTTACTCACCTTCATTGAATTGTGTTGCGCCTCCTCTTGTGTTTTACTTCTGCTCAGTATGTGGTGTTGAGCTTGAGGCCCCATCACGGCTCCTACTCTGTGAGTTATTTGCGCCACCTGTTGGCCATATGGAAAATGCAAAACATTAAGCCGTGCAAGAAATGATGCCCTTCGATATTTGATCACCCCACAATCTATAGATGATGTAAGATAATCCACGTCTAATGATTGCACTGGGTGTCCAAAAGTCCAACGTTGTACACTAGGTCCTACATGGGTCACACGAGGTAAAGATAATCATAACACTGCTCTGCCAATTGGAGCTCTATGGAACATTTTGGGAAATATTAAAGTTTAACAAAAGAGAAATATACAGTAAATAAGTAAGTGAATGTGAACTTTAGATATTATATTAACTACACTGCGCATTTTGCGCATTTTACGCATTTTACCCTATATTTGGCCTAATTCCCTGATGACTGTGGACAAGCTGTTGATATATTTGGACCATTATTCTGCTTTACAGCTTCAGTCGTGTCATTTGCCACCTTAACCAGCATCAGACCTGCTCTGCAGAAAACACCTGCGTCCGCAAAGTCCAAGAGAGCAACAGCCAATCATGAGTTGGGTGTTGATGGGACATTTCTCTCAAAGACAGCCCTGCCCAGATAACAGTAGACTGCGAGTGTTTCATAACATCGGCTCTGCACTCAGCTGAGGCCCACCCGCGTCCACCTCTCCTGTCCTCTCCTGTCCTCTCCGCTTCCAGCCAGCCATGGCTCTCCTGTCCGTCCTCACGCCTGTCCTGGCCGTGGTCCTGTGCCTGGTGATCGGCTTCATGCTGGTGAAATCGCGGGAGACGGAGACCACCTCGACCTCCCCGGGGGAAAAAACTACAGCAGCGTCAAAAGCGGACTACAGACCCTGGGTGGACCAGGACCTACAGGACGATACAGAAACCATAGAAAGAGAAGGCGGTAAGAGCTGAACAGACACTCTTTTTCTGACTTTGGAAACTTTGGCTGAACTTTGTTCACAGGCCGCTCGACTCAGCTCCACTGCTTGCAACAATGGAAGCTCATATTCGCCTTGTGGGAGCGCGCATTGGACAGTTTCTGGGAACTGTTCTCAACATAATCATTTACAGCTCCGTTAATGTATAATGGTTATTGTTAAATGCACAGCAATAGCATCTTAAGCAGTCGCTGGCAATGCGAATTCTTGTTCCCAGGCTTCCTCCAACAATGTTAATAGACAACAGATTTTCAAGAGATTTTCCTTCTTTTCTAACATGCAGCTTTACCGCATTAAGGCTAGAGAGTATTTGCATTTTCTACTACTGCGTCCTTCCAGTCCACTACTTTGCAGAGGTAAATATTAGCTTATACCCTTTACACTACATTTATCTTTGGTTACTTTGCAGAAGAAAATGAATAATACAAAATATAAAAAACAAATAAATCAGGTCTATGTCTTCCCTAGGGATGGGACGATATACAATATTATCGCGTTTAATGATAAAAATCACTAATTTATCATGGGGAATTTCCATTATTGTGATAACTGTGAATCTGGATAATTGGGAATATCCTCACATGGCTTGACTTGAAAAAGCTGTCTAGCTCACCAGCATACAGTCCTACGGTCCTTTTCCTATTACTCTTCAGCTTCCACAGAGGAAATTCACAAGCTACCCAGCAGTATATAAATTCACTGAAATGAGCTCCACCTTTACCAGCTGCAGCATTAAAGTGATGTGACCTTAATGCATTAATACATGGAATCCATTCATATGATATACATGAATCTGAAATTTTGCATTATGAGTACTTTTACTATTGCTACTTTAGTTATATTTTGATGCTAATGTATTAATACTTTTACTATAGTAAAACTTTGAATGCAGGACTATTTCTACACTGTGGTATCTGGCTACTTCCTCCACCACTGGATATAATCATATCTTTGCCTTTTGATGAGACTGCACCGAATAAAGATGAAGCTACAACCTGCATTACAAAGTGGGCAACTGTCCCTGGGACCAAGACCCAGAGGGGCCAATTATTGTAGAGGGGTCCTTACATGATGCATATTAATCAAATTTATCAGAAAAAGCTATCGGGTGGTGAAATATAATGAAGCTGACTCTGCCATTGGTAGTTAAACAATGCTGATTACACAATGTTATTATTTATTACAAATGTATTAATGAATAAATGAATGAATTTTCATATCAGAAGCTGCTCACTGGTCCTGCTTTTTGTCATTCTTTTAGAGGATGCTGATTGGGTGGACCACAACGAGGAGGAAGACCTTCAACATGTACCCTACTCACCCCGACGTTACCCTGAGGAGACGATGCTGGAGAGATCCAAGGATTTGTATACTCTGTTGAACCAGCGGAGGTCTGTCCGATTCATCAGCCCAGAGCCGGTCCCGCGCGAAGTCATCGACAATGTCATCCGCACTGCAGGCATGTTTTAAAGACAAATAGACCACTGTTAATCTGTTATAAACCAAAATCAAAACATTTGGTCTACAGCTAATGTTTTTTTCTAATCCACATCCACCTCTTCCTTCCTCTGGACAGGCACAGCCCCAAGTGGAGCACACACAGAGCCCTGGACGTTTGTCGTGGTGTCAGAGCCAGAGACGAAGCACCAGATCAGACAGATAGTGGAGGAAGAGGAGGAGGTCAACTACCGTCAGAGGATGGGGGACAAGTGGGTCAATGATTTGGCCAGATTACGGTGAGCTCCCATTCTTGTGTTAGTCCACACTCACACACACATTTATGTCAATATATTTGTACTAGAACAAGTCACTGCGCTGACAGCATTCAACCCCTGTTCCCTCTAATCTTAAATTTTAGCCTAACATACACAATAATTATTAGCCATTGTGTAAAATCTAACTACCTTTTTAACTTCACATGTCTCTTCATTTTCTCACAACTTCCTTCTTCTTGCAGGACAAACTGGATTAAGGAGTACTTGGATGTTGCTCCATATCTGGTCCTCATCTTCAAACAAACCTACGGGATGCTACCAAACGGCAAGAAGAAGACACATTACTACAATGAAATCAGTGTATCCATATCCTGTGGAATCCTGTTGGCTGCATTACAGGTAAAGACCCCTTAAAATACAGATGAGTCAGTCCCTGTTTTCTCTGTCATAGATACCATTTAAACAAGAACATGGAAGTCAGAGTTAAGAATGTATAGAACTATGTGGCTCTTCCCAGCCTCTTTAAAATTCATGCAATTAAGGCTAAACTAAATAACATTTTGTTTGTCTTATGAAAGTCTTACGTCTGTTCTTTGTGTCCATTTGCTAATCAGAACGTGGGCCTTGTTACTGTCACGTCGACGCCCCTGAACTGCGGCCCCCAGCTCCGGCTCCTCCTCAAACGGCCAGCCAATGAGAAGCTGCTGATGTTACTTCCTGTGGGTTATCCTGCGTCTGACGCCACAGTGCCTGACTTGAAACGCAAGCCCCTGGAGGAGATTATGGTGCACATTTGACGGAATCAATCTGCAGAGAAAATAAACGCAAAAAGTTTAAAATACGTTTTTCTTCATCATCTTCTTTGCCTGCAGCTCAAAAATCAACAAAACATATACCTAATGTGACGTAGAAATGTTGTGCTAAAGCTATT